ATCTACTATGAGTACAGACAAACTGATATACATGTGTATCTAGGAAAGTTTTAAGGCATGGCAGGCACTAGATATATAAAAGTTATATATATATAGTCTATGTTTCAGGAAATTAAAAACTTACCTGGATTTTGATGTGCACATTTTTCCTGCCATCCCTTAAAACTTTTGCAGGTGCATATGTTAGCCTGTACTCAGAGTAAAAAAGTGGTGTATATACGGCCATATTTGTCAAAAGGTTATGATGAACCTTAAACGGAGTTTTACAACTGACACTGATCAGGTCAAAAGTTGAAAACCATTCTCACTATTTCTGTTTATTTCTGCACTATTAAATCATTTATTTGAGTTACCTGTATTATTTCCTCGAGTATCTATGCGTTCATAACTCCTTGATTGTGTTTGTCTCGTTAAATAAACAGAAACAAGTACATGTTCAAGTTGTTGTCAGTTGGCTACCGGCGTCTTCGATTTGCATCATTCATCTGAATCTTTCAGGCGTTTTAAAAACCGACCTCCAGTCCTGGATATCGTCACGAAGAATAGGTACATGCTGGTTTCCCCATTCAATATAGACCAATATCCAATGTTTCTTAGCATAATCAGCTTCCCGACTTTACTGACTCAATTCAGTTTTAAAATGATATTTACTGCTTAAAGTAAGACATATAAATGAACAAATAACAAATTCTTTTGTTTACAATCATCATTTACATAGGAGCAGTGTCCCCTTTGGTAATAGTAGAGCATATCTAAATTCTGTAAATTGGAAGAAGCCAAATACCTTTGTTTTAGATTTCAGCGTACCCGAAACAAAGGAACAGATATTTGTTTGAAATGGAGTTGCTTCATTTGATCTCTTGTGTATATTTGGCAATTATACAACATATTCTTATTTTTATATTGCAACCATATTTTTCTACAATAGCACAAAAATTAAGAATACGAATGTATTTTTTCGGAACCAACCTGTGTAGAAGCACATGAGGAAGAAGAAAAATAACCCTAATCAAATCTGTAATTATACGTTAAGCCCAGAGCTCCAGATAAGCTGCGTATTTGCGTGATCACTCAATAAAAATAATTAAAAACCCAATGCAATTGCCCATTGCAGGGTTCAATAACTCAATTAAGTCAAAGGAAAACCCAATTATATGCCAAAAACATGGGTTCTTAACGCTTTTATTCGCTATCGTTTGCGTTATTTACCCTTACTTGATTACTTGTCCTTTCGTTCTAAAAATAGAGCCCTGCATCAAGTAGCTGTAATGGGTCCCTGTTGGAATTTTCCGTTGCTCAAAAGGTACACGTGTTTATGAAAACATTTCGATCTTCTCGGCGTTTATCCAATTAGCGTGGGACATGCTGTCATATTTTTTTCGAATTGCTCGGGATTTATCATAACATACAATGAATTAAAACGAAAGTAAATGTCCGGTAAAAATATTGAATAGAAGCATGTTTTCGGCTTCTTTTTGATAGCTGAGGGAAAGTTATGAAGATAACAAGACTCAGTTAGTGATTTTAGGAAGCGGCCATTGAACGCACGGGCGTGTTTGCGTACCATAACGAGAACATTGCTAGAGCGAAAAACACGGGGTTCCGTCAAAAACGAAATCAGTTGGAAAAAGTGAAAGGCCAAATCAATTATGACATGACATGTAGTTTGAAAGCATCGGAAACCAAAGGTTCTGATAAGGGACAACTTAACCCAGATTTATGTAAATTGAATTAAACGAAAACAGTTTATATATTATTTTTTTCATTTTAGTTGATGAGTGAATACATGCACATATCCGTTTTTTACGTCAATGCAGCTTGACACTTTCTTTGTTTTGGTCTAATTGTTCTAGATGCTTAAGATAGTTGTCTTATTGGCAAGTGCAGTATAACATTGTCATTTATTTACTTGGATGTTGCAGGATTATTTGTAAATTTAAGTTGAATGTGGTCTCCGTCATTATAAACCACCCTATAGAACTCAAGGTTTTGGGGTATATCTTAAATCTGGAAACTACTTTTTATTTTTATTAAAAAGTAGATCTGGCAAATAGGTGAAAGGACTGGCAAAACTTTCTTACAGCACCTAAATTTCACATATATTACACAAAAATCTAAACACTTAGCCACACCTACCCCAACTATAATTAAACTGTAGGGTGATCATATGGGATCTAGAAAGGCAATTAGTTCCTGTCCAACTAGTGACACCAGCTGCAGTTTACATAAGTTTTGAGAAAATACAAAACTGACAGAACGTTTAAAACGGGACACAAATTAAATGTACAATTGCTCGTCAGTGAATAAACCAAATAAAACAGCTAGCACATATTCTACAAAGAAAGAAACACATTTAAGATGGAAACACATCTGGGATTGATATAATGTGATTATAACATGCCTAAATATTCAATATTGTGTTGATGAAAAAACCCAATACATTAAGGAGCTTGGTGGTGAAAAACCCAATTTGATATTTGCTTGAGGGGTGAATTGGAATTGATAATGCAATTAAAAAACTTTATCACCCAATTACATAAAAAAATGGTGGGTAAAAACCCCAACAGGGGTTCAAATTAACATTTGGTACTGGAAGGTCCAGGACCTTTGACACTCCAAACTGAAAGGTCCACAACCTTAATTCCAGGTCGGCGGTCCTACTTTTACTTGAAATATTTCCTAACATAGTAAGATACAAGTAACAAAATTAATGTGCTGTTGGTATTAGGTCAACTTGTTTCATTGTCAAAGTCACTGTTGTATAAAATGTTTAATAACAATTGTAATTGTCTTGTACATTATAAATTCAGAATTTCAGATAATCTTTTTTTTTTTTGTTATTGAGGAGGGTGTCACCATGGTTGGGTGTGTTGTCTCAACTATTGGTAATTTATTACTACTTATACCATTTTATAAAACAGTTCAAATTCAAAGCTGTTTAAGCAGAGACGTATATACATGTGTATATATGTCTCTGGTTTAAGTGTATCATATCTAGTTGCACTATTATAATGCATTAGTTCCTCTGTGAAAATAAGATAAGAAACTTCCAGATTTGTACTGGTCCTTTAAAATTGAGACATTACCTCTTGGAATTCTAGTAATATGTTTACACTATACAAAAATCTACATGTAATATCAATATTTATTAATGATAAAGAAAATTACAGTCACATTTTTTTGGATTTTGAGATGAAAATTTATAACTAAAAGTAATTTTGAGTTTCTGTAAAAAAATATTTCCTACTTTTTCTTTCTTTTCAATATATCTTTTGGTTTTCAATTCTAGTGTTTATATTTTATCATCAAAGATGTATTTTGTCAACTGCCTGGAATTATTATTTTTTCATTGTATTTGATTGGCAAACCCGGAATTACCCTTATCCGCTCCGGAATCGGACCCGTTTTTTGTTATTTTCTTCATTTCCGGTTTATGGCATCCAATGTTTTTCAATGTTGTTTTGTCAGTCAGATAGGATTTTACTCGGATTTACACATTACTAGTTGGCAATTTTCGGTATAAAGGTAGCGGTTGATCAAAATGAACATCGCTGTCATGAATAATAATGATGAAAATAAATTTTGAGATTGTTTGGAAATTTTTGTTTAAAAAGGCAAAGTTTGTTTTTATTTTCTTTCAAACCGAAGGTCCGTAGGGCGTAGCTTGTAACCAAAACGAGAGTCCGACTGCAAAAATGGAAGGTCGCGGACCTCGGACCACCGCTAATTTGAACCCCTGCCCAATTTGTGAATTCTTATCTGGAGCTCTGGTTAAGCCTTATACAGGTTAACTGACCTAATATAGGGATTCTACCTGACGATATCGGGATTTTGGTATTTAGTCAAATCTTAGCAGGAAGTTGTGATAATAATTTAAACAAGAGGCTTTCAAGAGCCTGAATCGCTCACCCGTAGTTTTTTATTTAGATGTTTCATCAAAGTTTTTCTTTTGCTTTTAAGTTTTTAATGTATATTAAATTAATAAATGTGGACACAAACCAGTGTGGATAGTATCCAGCATTCTGAGAGTATTGCATGGCAATTGGGAAAGGTGAGCTAAAAACAATAAACAGGTTGGGAATATTCCTAATTGGGACATCCCAATTGGGGTATTGTATCCTAATTGAAGTATCAACGTATACCCCAATTGGCGTATCACGTGTTATTTTTCGCGCCTTCTATTCCATGCTTACAAAGTGCAAGATGGTAAGTACACAGTCTTTTAGGACATGTTTTTCTCTAGTCCAAATAATTATGATGTCTTGGAAGGCTATTTTAAATTTTTTCTTTGACGCCTTCCTGTGACGTCATAATGCTGAAGCCACCATTTTCGGTTGGACTTTGAGAGCATATTTTGCTCTCAACTTTGAAACCCAATTTAGCCATAAAATTTTCATTGAAGGCTAAAAATGTTTGCATATATAAAATTTCTCACCTTTTATGTGTTGTTTGTGCAAAATATTTCCAATAAATATCTACAGTAATAATAAAATAAGTTACAATTCCATCCGAGGCGGACGATTATCTACTGCTTTTTTTAAAACGTTTATCTGATTTCTTTTTAGGAGAGTATAAAATAAATTTTTGCACCAAACTCGGTAAAATTTGACAGACCCGAATTTCCGGAACCTTTGTTTTATATTATCCGGAAATTCAGGTCCGTCAAATTTTACCGAGTTTGGTTCAAAAATATATTTTATATTAAATCAGCTGAACGTTTTTATAAAGCAGTAAATTCCCTCTCAAAGTCCAACTGAAAATATGAGTTCGGCGTTATGACGTCGATGTAAGGCGTCAAAGAAAAAAAATATAATAGCCTTTCAAGACGTCATAATTATTTGGACTAGTTTTTCTCTTCCGTTTGACACCTTGAAGTTTTGTATTTGGATGCTGCATATTCATAGCAACATAATATCACCAATGCATATTTTGTGTTTTATACATAAATAGGGTAAATAATTAGCTTTGGAGGAATATTTGAGACGAAATATTTGATTTACCATTATATCTCAACATCGGTTACATGTTTTTACTTCTGAAACTCCATTTTGTTAGTTCCCGGATGCAGAAGCTGTATAAAGGTATGTCAGTTCAGGATAGCATCATTTTTCGTATAAGTTATGGAAAGCAATGTGTAACAACATAGTGTATCGTGTATACAAATTTATTGAACATGAATAATTTCAATTATAAACGATTTTTCGAGAAATTCATATCGTATTATATATGAAATTTAATAATGAAAAATATTTTTTCATGAAAGGAAATGAAAATTTAAGTACGGTATGAGTTTGTATCTTATTTTCTCCAGGAAAGTAAACCTTATATTAAATAAGCATGTGTGCCTAGAAATCCTGGTAAACAAAAAAAGGCCAAGAGCCATCATTTCAAGTGCACCATACTGGGCCAAGAGGAAAAGAATTTATTAAAGAGGACAGTGCCAGAGCAAATTCATTATATAAAAGAAGCATGCCAAGAAATTGCCTCCGTTGAAATTTTGCAAACATCCCATAGAGCAAATTACATGGATGATTAATTTTGATCATTTGGTATATGGCTGTGTTTTAAGTGAGACGTACACGCGGGTCATAAATTAATTTATTGAATGAAATCAAATCTTTAACTACTAATGGATGCCGTAGGAGGTCGACCGGAATTTTTAGCGAGGATTTCTTGGCATGTAATAGATAGAAAACTCAAGGTAAACATTCATAGAACCGAGACACGGGGCAGTGGCAAATATTTCATGTATATATTTTGAACACAAAGAGGATAACCCCGGTACCCTTTGCCAAAAATAATCTTCTTTTTCTTCTATTTGCCAACGGACTTTATGTTATGAATTGTAGTTTCACTTTCCATATTCGGTATTTATTCTAATTTAAGCTCCAGATAGTAAAAATCACGTGATTCAGGAATATAGAATCTTGGAGTTAGACTATTTCTTTCTTTTCGGGCGGGGACTCCAAGCAATCAACATGCATGTGCATAACGGCACTGTAGATTTTCTTATTAAATAAAAAAATGTGCCGGTCCGGTACATGAATAGATCGGTTAGAAATCAAAGTTTTAATTTTAATTAGATTGGAGGGTTGAAAATAGAGAGCACAAAAAAATAGGGGAGAGAGGGTGTTCCACAGGGAATATTTCCTTCTTATGAACTCTACATCTGAAAGGTTTAATATTTTTTTATTTAAATGAAAGAGAGAAAAACAAATGTAAGACAAATTGTGAATGGTCTTTCTTCCTTTCTCCCATGCCAAGAAATTGCCTCCGTTGAAATTTTGCAAACATCCGGCCATAGAGCAAATTACATGGATGATTAATTTTGACCATTTGGTATATGGCTGTGTTTTAAGTGAGACGTACACGCGGGTCATAAATTAATTTATTGAATGAAATCAAATCTTTAACTACTAATGGATGCCGTAGGAGGTCGACCGGAATTTTTAGCGAGGATTTCTTGGCATGAAAACATTATTCGCAAAGGTGAACAGTAATATTTTATATAGTGTTTTTAAGGTACTAACGTTTACACATCTTGTAAATCGTGATCTTCGTTGCTGGTTGCTTCATCTACAGCTTGGAGGACTTCTCGGTAAAATGTAATGTACTCGTTTTTTGTCCCTTTCTTCACTTCTGCCTTCCACTGTTGTTCTAAAATCACCCCCTCTTCCGTCATCTCTATTTCCTCCAATGCAACCAATATTTCTTTCATTATTGTTGCCTTTGGTTTGCTTTAAAGTGGAAACAAAATTATGAAGATAAGAATCAGTTATTGATTTCCATCAATGGGAATACATATAAATTACGTAAGTTAGGTTTTCAGGTTTACGGAAGGTAAACCTTATAAAAAAGCTGTTATGTCTACAAATCCATGGAAACAAATAGAGGTAAAGTTACCTCGTTTAAAAACGTGAAATCCAATATTATACAAGAAGTTGTTATTGGTGTTATATTGTCTATCAGTTTTCATAAATATTACATGGGCGGATTAAGCCTTGTTTTTAAATGGGGTGTTCCAATACAGTAAAAATTCGTAAAGCTTCCGCGGAACCCAGTGTCTCGACTACTTTTGCTGTTAGTCGCAGGCTCAACAACAATGGCGAAAAAAAATATTAAAAATTTTCCTCCAGATACTTTCTTTTGATTGTAAGAAGCTTCTATCCAAGTTTGGTAAAAGTCCAGGATGGTTTATGAATCTAATAAATGTTTTAGAAATCAGGTAATTGCATCTTGTATTCTTAGCGTAATTAATTTTATTTCAAATATTCATTTCCAATCAATAGTAGCGTAAATGAATGAACCCGAACAATACCATTTATATAACTGAAACTAACTTTGCAATATCGAAAAATTTCTCTCTGTCTGATGGTAACACAAAAATTGGTTGCAGTTTTCTTCCTTTGCCGAAGTCATGGCCATTCTTATAATCCAGGTTGTATGCTTTCATGTTTTCTTTTGCATTGAAACTGAAATTAATCAGGTCGTAATCTAGATCATCACCATTGATGTTTGTTATGGCCTTCTCATCTAAAAAAAATATTAACGAAGACGCGTTTAGGGACTTATCATTTTTTATCTGGGAGGGGGCTGGTCATAATGCAGGGGGGGGGGGGGGGGGTCAAGTTTTTTTCTGTATGTGGAAAAGGGGCGTTCAATTTTTTTTATAAGTTCAATGTGGGGGGATCAATATTTTTTGTACATAAAAATAAGTAGTTCACATACTTCAACGGAGACAAAATGTCAAGAAGAACATTACAAAAGTCAAATCGAAATATATTTTTAACACCATTCATATACAATTAAGTAAGACGTGTATCACAAGACATTAGTGATGTAGGATCTGAAGCTGCCATTTTGTGTCAGTTTGTCCTATATAAAATGCATAGGTGCTTCATAATCCGAATGATTTAGTCGTTATATTTCACTCACTTCGATCACTAAATTAACAAGCATTACTGCCACGTTTTGTTATAATCAGCTTAATAGTTTGAGAGAAATTAAGTATAAATTAAAACGAAATCTACAGCGATTTGTGCAAAATTTTGTCCAAAAATACAAATCACGCCGCATCATGGAAGAATATAGTGTAGAGCAATAAATTCTCCAATAAATGATTAAATATTCATCTAATCTGCATACAAACAGTTGAATATTGATACAACAGATGATTTTGAGATGATGAACAACACTAATGTATCTTTTTGTTTCATTACAAGATCGCTTTGGGTCCATTTATACCTCTCACTCCCTCAAAATTTGTACTTTTTAGGCTAATAAATCAAAATTTTGAGGTTACTATCAAACATTTATGAATGAAATGTGACAATAAATGAGTAATTGAATTGTTCAAGCTGTAAGCATGAACTATCCATATAAAAGTTTAGCGACTCAATGGAGGTTTCAATAAGGCCTTGCGTAAAACTTAAATTTAAGCAGCGTTCAAGAGAGGGACATATAATAGATCCCTCTAAGTAAATAATGTGTTGTTACTGTTTCAAAAAGTTTACTATTTAATGTATATTTTTTACAGAGTTACTTAGGATAAAGTTTTCTTTAATAGCCCAATATAGGAAATTAGAAAAAAAGTCAGAAAAATCTATTCAAAGCACTGGCTTGCTCTACCTACTAATATTCATGGAAGAGGCCTCATGGAAGAGCCCTATTGCAAGGCAATTTTCCCTCAAATGTGTTTTTGGACTCAATACACTGAGAATATTTCATTTTCAATATTTTCGTGAAATAACATGATATGTGTTTTGCATGTTAAAATTTTGGCATGTTTAATAGAGGGGGATCATAATTTTTAAATGTTTTTACGGGGGGGGGGGGGGGATCAAATAAAAATAGTGAAATATTATGGGGGGATCAAGAAATTTTGTATGTTTCATTTCAAAATGACCAGCCCCCCTCCCAGGTAAAAAATGATAAGTCCCTAAGTGACAGCTAGAGTAACAGAGTGACATGTAGTTGGCCAATATCGATCTAGTACATCACTTCATGATCCTTCGTGTACACTGGATAGTTGGCCAATATCGATCTAGTACATCACTTCATGATCCTTCATGTACACTCGATAGTTGGACAATATCGATCTAGTACATCACTTCATGATCCTTCATGTACACTCGATAGTTGGCCAATATCGATCTAGTACATCACTTCATGATCCTTCGTGTACACGGGATAGTTGGCCAATATCGATCTAGTACATCACTTCATGATCCTTCATGTACACTGGATAGTTGGCCAATATCGATCTAGTACATCACTTCATGATCCTTCGTGTACACGGGATAGTTGGCCAATACAGATCTAGTACATCACTTCATGATCCTTCGTGTACACGGGATAGTTGGCCAATATCGATCTAGTACATCACTTCATGATCCTTCGTGTACACGGGATAGTTGGCCAATATCGATCTAGTACATCACTTCATGATCCTTCATGTACACTGGATAGTTGGCCAATACAGATCTAGTACATCACTTCATGATCCTTCGTGTACACGGGATAGTTGGCCAATATCGATCTAGTACATCACTTCATGATCCTTCATGTACACGGGATAGTTGGCCAATACAGATCTAGTACATCACTTCATGATCCTTCGTGTACACTCGATAGTTGGCCAATATCGATCTAGTACATCACTTCATGATCCTTCATGTACACTGGATAGTTGGCCAATACAGATCTAGTACATCACTTCATGATCCTTCGTGTACACGGGATAGTTGGCCAATATCGATCTAGTACATCACTTCATGATCCTTCGTGTACACGGGATAGTTGGCCAATATCGATCTAGTACATCACTTCATGATCCTTCATGTACACTCGATAGTTGGCCAATATCGATCTAGTACATCACTTCATGATCCTTCATGTTCACTCGATCTGATGGAAAATTTATATGTGGACCCAAAATTAAAGGTCAATAAAATGACTTTGAACGAAATATTTGTCCCGGGACGCAAGCAAACAACAATTATTTAAACTAGGCCATTAATTTATAGAACTGGATAAAAAACATTATAAAGTAGTAGACTACACATGCATCATATACGTATTATCAAATGTATTAAGTGGATTTAAGATTAACTGAATAAGAGGCTTTTTATGAATAAAAATGTTTTGGCAAGGAAATAATTTAGACGATTAAAATTCTTTTTGTAAACGAAAAGGAAAGAACTTAGATACGAAACTATTTACTTCGGTGAGCTTAAAACATCTCTTATGTACATGTATAATGTGTATATGTTACAGTGAATTTGTATAATCAGGGATTATGTAGAATCCCTGATTTTTCAGGGATTATGTAGAATCACTTAAATCATTAGTGATTATATATAATTCCTTAAAATGACCAGTGGCTTTACATAATCACTTAAGATTTTTATAATTATTCTACAAATTCCCTGAAATGATTTTAGGGATTATCAATAATTCAAAGATCCTTGGTTTGATAAAAAATAAATATAGACTTATTATTTGTTTTTTCTTATTCCTTGAAAGTTTAAATGAACAGTAAGTCACGATTTAAATTGTTTAAATGCTCCTTCCATCTCTTATATTTCATACAGATTACACTATTACATCATTATACATTAACATAAGATGGGGGCTGGTGGGCATGGATCTAGGAAAATAATAAATCTTAAATACTTAGTGTCTGACGAAAAAATATTTTTGTGAATAGCAAACTTAAAGTCATAAAAACTAGATATACAGAAATAAAAGTATAATTTTATAATAATTTATGCATATTTCTAGGATTAGCGTCTCATTAGTATACTTTTGTGCTGATCCGGTTTGGCATTGTTGTTTAACCTTACGTTAGCAAAGAACAAGTACTAAATCCACAGTGCATGTTATTTGTGTTAAAACAATTGGTAAAAAGGTTATGGAACATCTGTTTTGTGTATATTGTGTTCAAATGAACAAGAAATTCAAACTGAGAGAACTGAAGCAACTAGATGTATAGAAAAACAGGCAGAACGAACGATCGGCAGTATCTATTATGCTTCTAGTCTATTTTTACATTAAGTAGAATTAGGTGCGTGACACAGGCTCTTAAGAGCCTCTAGTTTTGGTACCTCAGATCATTGCATTGAAAACTTTATCTCTATTAGACATGTAGAAAAATCTGATTCGATATGTGAAGGACAAGGTTTTTTAAAATGTCGATGTTGTGGTAAAAACAGATGTGATTCAAATAGATGTGCCTGTAGAAAAGCAGTGCAAATGTGTAATAGTCGATGTCATCCAAACTGTAAATATAGATGATTGTTTTTGACATATTAATTTTTGTTCTTAACATTTTAATAGCAATTCTCTGTAACCACCAACCAAGTTGCGGCACGCATAGTCTCAGATTTTCTTGAAATTTGGTTTCTTGGTAGCTATCGATAAACAAACAAGAAATAAGTTGACAAAAAATTTGTTTATGCCCCGTTGTCATGGTAACGGATCCCCTTAGATTTTACCTCAAAAATGCATATTTTGACGAACA